TATTTTTTATATATATACCTATGTAAATTCAATTGCAAAAACAAAACAAAATTAAGTCTGAAATTATGAATAAACTGGATTATCCGCGTCGCAATGGTACACATAAGATACGAATAACGCGTAAGTAATGCAAATTACCTCTAAGTAAATGTGATTATTAATCTATTATCATTTTTCTCTTACAGTATTGTGTGCTAGGAATTTGGCGCGCAAGGATTTGTTTCGTAAGTATAATTCATGTATATATGCATGTATGTGAATATCTGAAATTATTAATGATGTTTATGCAAATTGATTTCGAATTCAAAACAATCAGCAAACAAATAGAAAATGTTTCTTTCCCGTTGTCGAGCTTCGCTGCGTTTTAACGTGCTACGTACCTCGGGTGTTGTAGCTAAATTTAGCATTTCCTTTTGTCTACTTTCATTTTTTTGTACAAATTACCGGCAAAGAGTGGGCGGGGGCGATGGTGATAGGGAGCTGGCTAGGCAGCGCTAGCTCAAATTAGGGTTGCCATGCCATTTATATATGTATATATATAAATATATATGCATAGACATACATATATGTATGTATATATATATAATTTGTTTACACATAACTAAAATGAATTATTACTAATTTACTTTCATTGTGTTGCTCTCTCGCTCTCGCACTCATGCACGCACAACCCAATTTGTGGATGTGTGTGTGCTTGTGTTATATTTCTCTTATTCATTTCTTTTTTGTTTTTACACATCGTTGCACTTAAAACACGCGGGGGGCGTCGAAGCGACGACTATAGCGCCGTCCGCATTGCCTAATGTTTCTATTTTTTTTTTTCTTTTATACATTTCTTCAAATTATAGTATATATTATTAGTTTGATACGCATTCGACAGGTGTTCATGAGGGGAACCCCAAAAAAGGAGCTGCGATTGGTGTGGATTTCTATGCCATACGAATGGCACAGAAATGCTAATGTGTAATTAACAGCAGCATGCCAAGTAGCTATCCGAGTAGCTAGCGGGCTGTGGACTTGATGTCACTCTTTGTTCATGTTACAGATTCACATCGAGTCGACATCAATGCACTTGACATGGTTGGGCTGGGATTGGTTTGATTTCTGAATGCTTTTTGCTTCCATGCAAATGCGTGCAAATGGCGAAAAAGTTGGGCGCTTTTTTGTTTATCGTTAGACTGATTAGATTCGTGCTATAAGCAAGTATCGCACTGGGCACGTTGGGAAAAACACAAACGCAGTTACAAATTGGGTAAAATGTGTGAGTGTGTTTTAGGGTCTTACGTAGAGGACTTGACACTATCAGAAAGCATTTGATTTCTAGAGAGATATATAAATAGATATCATGGGCGTGGGAAGCATATGTTATGACTAATTTTTCTATCACCCAAGTCGAAACGAAACAACGCATAATAGTTTTCAAAATTTTACTATAAACTTCTATTTAAAATGTTCATTCAGTTGTCGAAATTGTTATTCAGAATTAAATTTCAGCAATACTTTTGGCCCTTCAGAAATTATTAGTTTGATACACATTCAATATACATATACATACAAACACGCACTATATATATATATATCATATATATATTTCTCGTAGTAGACTTTTGCTTTTGCTATCAGAAACAAAAGGTGCAATATAATAATTCAATTTGTGTAGAATTGTGGGATTAAAGAAGTACGATGATTGCACTGCTGTTGCGCAATCAAATAACATCAAGGTGCAACTTGCCTTTTGCAATTTCACATTTGCGGCGTACGTTGTCAAATGGTAAAACTCCGTCAGAAATCGATAAAGACCTAGACAATGATGGCAAAATGAAGGACTCTAGTGGAGCACAGCCTGTGATCGAAATGCCCAAGAAAATCAACTTGGAATCGACTCTCATGAGATCCTCGGCGGATGGGAAGTTTGTGCTGAGCATTCGTCAGGTGCAAGCCTTAAAAAATAATTCAGTCATAAAGCTGCCCGCAAAGATGACGCAGTCTATGACAATGTGTACGAAGGGCAATGACAACCAGAAAGGCTCCGATAGCAATAAGAGCGGGGATGAGAAGAAAGATTTACTTGCAATGACCGAAGAAGAGTTAGCTAAGAAAAAATTGAGAGTCCAAAAATGTTTGAAACCGTTGCGCAATATTCGAAGATTTTTGAAACCAGGAACATTGGAGAAAAAACAAGAGTACGTACGTGGTTGGCTAAAGAAGAAACTGAAGGATCGAATTAGAGAACCAAAAATGAATATTAAAGATAGAATGAAAAGGAAGCCGCCAATTCTATATAAAGAGATAGAAAATTTTCCATTGAAGCCCGTACGCGAAGAGAACAAATTTCCAGTAAACAAGCAGATCCTTGAAACAGACGATGATAAAGTTGCCGAGAAGCTTGAGAATGCGAAGACAATGTACTTCAAGTATAAGCCAAAACGAAAAGCTCTATTAAAATGTACTCCTACGAATGGCGATAGACAGGAGATTAAAAGGGAAGATCTGTCTGGCGTCAGGAAAAAGGCAACTCCGAAGAAACCTCCAGCGAATAACGGACAACAAGGATCCTCAAAGTCATTTTCCACATTTGTGCAGGCAACTCCTCCAGCTCCAGGAGCCAGAGCAAACACACTACCTGGTTTAGTTGATACAAACCCTGTATCAGTTATTTACGACAGGAAGCCAACTCCTGGAGTGTCGACAATATTAGGCGCTGGCAAAGATTCTCCTCCGGCAAAGTCTGCAGCAGATGCTAAAGCTCCCGCATCCGGTGGTGCAGCAGCCAAGCCGCCAGGTCCACCGCCTCCGCCCAAGGGTCCTCCGCCAGGCACACCGCCACCTCAAACTAAGACGACTTTCGGTCCGCTGGCAGACGCGGACCGCATCTTCACAAATCTGTACGGCCTTCACGACTGGCGTCTGAAGGCAGCCATGAAGCGGGGCGACTGGTACAAAACCAAAGAGATAATCGAAAAAGGTTCGCCCTGGATTATTAACGAGATTAAGACGTCGGGCTTGCGTGGCCGTGGCGGAGCTGGTTTTCCCACTGGCCTCAAATACTCCTTTATGAACAAACCGCCCGATGGCCGACCTAAGTTTCTGGTCGTCAATGGCGACGAGGGCGAGCCGGGCACGTGCAAGGATCGAGAGATTTTTCGCCACGATCCGCACAAGCTTGTGGAGGGATGCCTGATAGTCAGTCATGCAATGGGGGCCAATGCCGGCTACATCTATGTGCGCGGTGAGTTCTTTAACGAGACCTGCAATCTACAGTACGCCATAGCGGAGGCCTACAAGGCAGGATTCCTGGGTAAGAATGCCTGTGGATCGGGCTTCGACTATGATCTGTATGTGCAGCGCGGCGCTGGGGCCTATGTGTGCGGCGAGGAGACATCGCTGATCGAATCCTTGGAGGGCAAGGCAGGAAAGCCACGCAGCAAGCCGCCCTTTCCCGCGGACGTGGGTGTCTTTGGCTGCCCCTCGACAGTTACCAATGTGGAGACTGTGGCCGTGGTACCCGCGATTTGCAGGCGTGGGGGTAAGTGGTTTGCCAGCTTTGGGCGCACTCGCAACTCGGGCACAAAACTGTTCAATATCTCGGGACATGTGGAGCGACCCTGCACAGTGGAGGAGGAGATGTCGATGCCCACACGAGAGCTCATTGAACGACATGCCGGAGGCGTTCTTGGTGGCTGGGATAACTTGCTGGCTATCATACCGGGCGGCTCATCAACCCCCTGTATTCCCAAGGAAGACGCATCGAAATCTATACACGACTATGACGGTCTGATGGCCGTGCGATCTTCGCTGGGCACCGGCGCCATCATCGTGATGGACAAGACGACGGACATCATCAAGGCAATTGCACGTCTGGCCGCCTTTTACAAGCACGAGAGCTGCGGCCAATGCACGCCCTGCCGCGAGGGCCTGCACTGGGTGCACCTCATCATGCAGCGCTTTGTCACCGGGCAGGCGAAGCCCAGCGAGATCGACATGCTCTGGGAGATAACCAAACAAATCGAGGGCCACACCATATGCGCTCTGGGCGACGGCGCTGCCTGGCCACCCCAGGGACTGATTCGCCATTTTCGTCCAGTCATCGAGGAGCGCATGCGTAAGCGTGCCGAGAGTGATGCTGCCGCYGCCGCCGCCGCTGCCGCACCTGCCCATAAAAAGCCTCCCGCCGTGAATGCATCGTGCTCCAAATCCACATAAGTGTAAATGACGTTTTATTTGCAATAAAAAAAACCTTTCCTTCGTCGGTTAACTTCATGCAACAATGACTTCCTCTTGCAGCCGAGTGAAAGTGCAGCCAGTCGTTCATTTTCCACAAAGTATTCCCACTGAGCCGCAAAATTGTGCCACGTAGCGTTAAGCCAAATGGGGTTGAACGACATGTGGTCGACAGTGGGTCGGGATACGGTAGTCAATCGATCGGCACTTTCCACTGTGCGGCTTGGGAGAATGCCAAATCGTTGTGACAGCTCGAAATGTTATGATACCATCCCTATTCATTGAGTATACGCTGATTATATAATGCAACTTTTGAGAGCATATCCAAGTCGACCATCGTTCTGGCCGCTATTTCCTTTTACTTTTTGCCATTTTGCTTTTGTGTTCTTTGGAGCATAAAATCAATCAACAGCTGTTGCCGTCGTCCACAGTTCAAATTACCCACACACACACACACACACACACACCAGGTGCTCAGATACAGGTGCGAGCGCGCGCTGGGCTGCAACTACAGGTAGAAGCAATATGCCTGACAGTCAACAGGATAGCAGCAAGCGAGCTGGCATTTCATTTTAATCACCTTGCTAGCTGCCACATATATATCTATATATATATAAATATATATATACATATACATATATGTTATGCAAATACTCGTATAGAATGCTTTATTACCACTTCTTGGGTGTGTGCATAAATCAATGCTAATTGCTTCAGTGACATATGATAGAGACATAGTGGTTCGTCTACCTCATCACTGATATCCCACTGTGTATATGGAATTAGGTATAAGACTCATCCCATCTATTGGCACTTGGCCTCGTTCATGCTTTTGGGTCAGTATTAAAGACAATTATTAAAGCGCCGTTGTGATTTAATTGAAACTTGTTGCCCTCTGCGGTCAACTATTCACAATCGTATGAACTAGGCTAATTGAATGAATGAATCTCGTTGGAGTCGCTCAGCCATGTGGATTGAAGGGCGGCGTGCCGGGTATGCGAGGATATGGTTGGTTGACACGTGGTCGACTCCAGCGGCGCTCGTCGAACGGTGCAGCCATTGTCGAGGCGACGCACAGCGTCACTAGTGCCAGAAACAACCAAGCGGTAAAGGTGCCGAAGCGAATGGAAGCCATAACTTCTGGGATGTGTGGCTGCGTCAATGATGCGTCTGTTTATATATAGGTCAGCCAGTGATTGTTCTCCGAGTAATCTAAAATTGAGTATATGTTTCAGAGTGTGATTACCCTCAGTGGGCAGTAGAGATTGTCTGATTACGCTGAGAGGGGACTCACAGGAAAGCTGTGTGCGTTACTTGATGATTAGAAGGGGGCCGCTCTGATAACCTAGCCTAGGCGAAGCCGTTGATTTCAATTGTGTCACTCGACGTTGTCGCAGTCGATGTTGTTTTTGTTGTTGTTTCAATTTCCGGTTGCTGCTCCTCCATGCAGGCTGGGTTCAGTCGCCTTAGATCGATAGCGATGCGATCAGGGAAGCCAGGACGAGCATGGGGTATATAGCAAGAGGCGAGTTGCATTGAGTGGATCAGCAACCATATCAGCAATAGAAATCGAAGCATTGCTATAGAGAGATTATTGTAATTCACAACAGAGACCAAACTCCACTTTGTCGTGTTTGTCTGCACGCTGTTTGCTTATATAGCTTGTTTAATTTGCCACATGCAAGCCATTTAAATAAATATTGTTTAGCAAATTACTAAAATTACTCCAATTTGGTTTGTTTTTTATAGGGTTGCCCGATCCGTTTGCAAAAGTTCAGGTGGATGGCACCGGGCAGGTCTACTCCACAGAGATAAGCAAGTCCTCGCTGGATCCCAAATGGAATGCGCACTACGATCTGTTTCTGGGGCGTGGCGATTCGATAACGATAACCGTTTGGAATCAGCGAAAGATACACAAGGGCAGCGGATTTCTGGGCTGTGTGCGCATTCCCGCCGTGACCATACAGAGTCTAAAGGGCACGGGATGTAAGTAAATTCGCCTATTCCAATTGATAAAAGTTGCTAATCGAATGCCTTTACAACTTTCTAGTTCAACGCCTGGATCTTGGTAAATTGTCCCCGGACGACGATGAGTTGGTGCGCGGGCAGATCATCATCTCGCTGCTTGCCAAAGATGGACCCTGCAGTGGCAACCCGCTGGCCATTGTGGGACCCAGCGGCGATGTGCGTGGTCCGTCAGAGGAGGAGTCCTCCTCGGTGGATCACCTGCCGGAAGGCTGGGAGGAGCGACGCACGGACAACGGACGCATCTACTATGTGAATCATGCGACCAAATCGACGCAATGGGATAGACCCAGAGTGCCGGCAACGCCAGCGGGGACAAAGTCGCCGCAGCAGCGTCATCAGCACAATGGCAACAACGTGGACAGGCAGCCGCCGGCAGGTCCAACACGCTCCACAACTTGCACAAATCTGCTCAACGGCCACAGCAATCGTCAGATGTCGCGCGAGATGTCAGACGAGCGGCGTCACTCAACGGAAATACTCTCTAGTGTAGGCGTGGGCGGGGCGGGTGGTAAAGAGAACACCAGTCCCAGCTCGGGAACCGCGGGAACGACGACGACGACGACAGCGACGGCCACACCGGGTAAAAAGTCAACGTCCAGTCGAGCGGGAAATGCGGCACTGGAGCCATCTACGCCCAACAACAGCACCAGCWGCAACAGCAACAGCAACGGCAGCAGCAGCAACAATGCGACAACAACAACGACAACGACGGCGACTGGTCGCCTGCATAGCAGCAACAACGACAATCATGTGAAAACGCCAAAGCATCAAGCATCGACAGCACTGAACGGGCATGCGCCGGGCGAGGCGACGCCCACATCGCCCACTGGCCAGCAGAACTATGTGAACGGCAACGCACAGAGTGTCCAGTCGGCGCAGCCTCAGCACGGCTCCAGCAACGGCTGGCAGGCGGAGGATGGCACGACAACGGCACCGACAACGACAACCACGCCTGCAACAACACCGCCCAGGCAGAGCCCCACCGCTGCCACCACGACATCTTCATCATCAACGCCTGCCACACCCACCACCGCCAACAGCAGCAGCAACGGCAATGGCAACGGCAACGGCAGCGTGCATAGTCCGAATGCGAACAGTAGTCAGCCAGTTAGCAGCAGATCGGAGAGGACGGCAGCGACGGCAACGCCTGCGCAGCGTTCGCAGCGGCGCAGCTCGCGTCAGGCAGCAGAGGAAGCAGCGGCGCGTCGGAGATCGTCACGGGGCACGCGAAATACTGGGGCAGGTGGTGCGGCCATGCCGGGTGGTGTGCGTTACGGCTCGGCAGCTGTAGCGGCGGCAAATCAGGCGGCGCGTCCTTTTCTGGACTTGCCACCGGGCTATGAGATGCGCACGACACAGCAGGGTCAGGTGTATTTCTATCATATACTCACTGGGGTCTCCACGTGGCATGATCCGCGCATACCTCGCGATCTTGACACGCAGCATCTGTCGCTGGACGAGATTGGGTCGCTGCCAAGCGGCTGGGAGCAGCGTAAGACGGCCTCGGGCCGCGTTTACTTTGTAGATCACAATAATCGCACCACCCAGTTCACGGATCCACGGCTGAGCGGCAGCATACTCCAAAGGATATGCAATGGCAGTGGAAATGCGCCAGCAGCGACACCAAATAGTGCAGCGGCAGCTCCACCAGCAACAGCAGCACCACCACCGACTGCAGCACCACCACCTGCGACCTCGAACACTGGCAGTACGACAGCCACACCGCATCGCCGAGCTACGCCGCACATTGTGGTGCCGGACCTGCCGCAGGGTTTGCTTGAAGGCGCTGATCTACTGCCAAAGTATCGACGCGATTTGGTTGGCAAAATGCGGGCATTGCGTTCGGAACTGCAAACGTTGCAGCCACAGTCGGGCCACTGTCGGCTGGAGGTGTCGCGCAGCGAGATTTTTGAGGAGAGCTACAGACTGATTATGAAGATGCGCGCTAAGGACATGCGCAAACGGCTCATGGTCAAGTTCAAGAACGAAGAGGGCCTGGATTATGGTGGGGTGGCACGCGAATGGCTTCATCTGTTATCCCGCGAGATGCTCAATCCACACTACGGCCTATTCCAGTACAGCCGCGACGATCATTATACGCTGCAAATCAATCCCGATTCAAGCATCAATCCCGATCACCTGTCCTACTTTCATTTCGTTGGCCGCATTCTGGGCATTGCGGTTTTCCATGGTCATTGTCTCGATGGCGGCTTCACCACGCCCTTCTACAAGCAACTGTTGAACAAACCCATCACCCTAGGAGATATTGAGGGTGTGGACCCTGAACTGCATCGCAGTCTCACTTGGATGCTGTAAGTATAAATTGGAAGTCTTTTAGTTTGCACTTATTAAATGTTGTTTTTATTTTACAGGGAAAGCAATATCAGCGGGATTATCGAGTCCACATTTAGCGTGGAGAACAATAGCTTTGGAGCTCTGGTGGTGCACGAGCTGAAGCCCGGCGGGGCGTCTATTCCCGTTACCGAGGAGAATAAGCGCGAGTATGTAAAGCTTTATGTGAACTATCGGTTTATGCGTGGCATCGAGCAACAGTTTTTGGCACTGCAGAAAGGTCAGTTATTACTCTTTATCATATATATAGAATACCTTACTTACTCAAACCTATTTCTAATTGCATAGGCTTCTGCGAACTGATACCCAGCCATTTGTTGCGGCCATTCGATGAGCGCGAATTGGAATTGGTTATTGGAGGCATCTCTAGCATCGATGTCAATGACTGGCGCAGTAATACGAGAATGAAACATTGTACCAATGACACACCTCAGGTTCAGTGGTTCTGGCAGGTAAGATACCTATTCTTATTATCAATTATATTCGTCAAAAAACATATCGTTTATTTCAGGTGGTTGAGTCGTACAGCTCTGAGATGCGTGCACGCTTACTGCAATTTGTGACGGGCTCTTCGCGGGTGCCGCTGCAAGGATTTCGTGCGCTGCAAGGCTCTACAGGAGCGGTGGGGCCACGTCTGTTTACCATACATCTAACGGCAGATGTGCCCACACAAAATTTGCCCAAGGCACACACCTGCTTCAATCGCATTGACTTGCCGCCCTACGAAAGCTATCAGCTGCTCTGTGACAAGCTGACGCAAGCCGTTGAGGAAACCTGTGGATTTGCTGTGGAATAATTACAACGCACACATACACAAATACAGACACACCCACACACACATACATGCATATACACACTCTTACACATACGAGCGCATTCTTGTACACTCATTCTTGCATTATATCACTTACAAGAATATATAAAAGCGATTTGAAATCAAAATTATACTGGCCTGCGTGCCCCCCCAAAAAAAAAAAAAAATTGCATTGGAATTTGTCTGTTGAAAAATGCTCCGCAATGCTGTTTAGTGTTTTGCTGCGCCTTTTGCAGTCAAAAAAACAATATCAAATTTAAGAAAGAAACGATAAAATAATTAAACAGACTTATTACATACATATTTATGTGTTGCCCACTCAAAGGCGATAGTTCTTTAACATAGTTACCAAGTGCATATACACTCAAACGTACATACATAAATACATGTATATCTATATAAATATATACTTGTATTCAGCTGTCTACCCTTGGCCTTTGTTTGTTTACGTCGTGTTATAAATTGTAGTTTTAATTATTGAACCCATATACATATACATTTTATATTTATA